GCACCAAGGCGTGTATCAGCTGTGATTTGACGTATGGACCAACCTGCCCTTTTCAGTCCGATCACCATGCCCCTCGTAAAAGCGTCTGTCTGCTTGAACTGCCTCCGTTTACGATGACCTGGCATTCTCTGTTATTTCACGTGTCTTTTGACACAAGAACAAAATTTCTACAATGATTTTCCTTGAAGAAATAACAACACGAATACTGTCCTTTCTGCAAGTTTCTTCCCTTATATCTTACTCCATGTGCGCACGAGAGCTGGGCATTTTACATCATTTGCATAACTCGGTTAGGCGCGTCTACCCTGAAATTTGCATAATATTCTGGCCACTATTTCTTGGTGTTCCATGTTCAATGTCACGCAGTGTATATTATAAATATTTGTGTTTGTTTTGTGTGTAGTAAATCCTTCAAGAGAAATTTAACAAAATTCAATTCTAGACCAATGCCGTTTTATGTCTCCTGTATTTGATCTTTATGGAGTTCTCTAAAAAACTATTCATCAAAATTGTTGACATTCTTTTCGTGATAACAGATATGGGTAAAATTTATCCCACTACTAAATGGGGAATATACAAGAAATACAATCAAAGTAGATAAAAAATTACGATGAGATCGGAAATATATTTATTTACGGGGCTGCTAACCAGAATGGATTATTTTTGAGCTCAGATGGACGCATAAAGCGGAATATATTCAACGCACTATTTGCATTGCACTGTTGGAGGAGGATGTAGAGGAGGATCAGTGGGACAACGATGAGATCAAAAGAAAAATTCACATGGAATGAACTACCCTTATGATTTAAGCTGTTTTGGACAAAGATTTAAGAAATATTATGAATAACGAACCAAATAATTTTAATATTCGGCGGGATGGTTACGTTCCGATGGCATATTGCTAGCTCGAGCTGCCATCTATTCATTTTCGGAAATTATAATCTCATTTAACACGATTGATCTTTCAATTCATTGAACATATCCACACAGGAAATACACAGGCCTAAAAATAATTTAAACACCGAATGGCTTAAAAGATATCTTGACCTTATCTGAATTCAAATAATCGACAATCGACAACAATTTGGGTTGGTTTTATCAATTAATTACTCATGAACCGTTCCTATCATATATCTTATTATCTCCTTTTCAAAACCTCGACATTCGTCACATCTCATCCCAACTCTCAATCTCATCCCGATATCCCGCACTCATCCCAATCTTCTCAGCTTCCATCTCAAAAAAGAGCCCAAAGTTACCGTAGAACTTTCAGCGAAAGGCTTCCTGAATAAAGAATTTCTCTATGTTGGCTTTTCTGAAGTATGTTCATAACTTTTATTCCTAGAGGACGTCAAAATAAATTATATATAGGAATATTTTTTTTAAAACGATGTGCACGCCTTATAGGCCCCAACAATTCGTCTGAGGATTCCGGACAAAGTCTTGTGCCCGGAAGTTGGCATCGGTAACTAAGCCTAGCACCCACCGAGGAGAATCGGTTCCTAATTTATGTTAACCTGGCCTAGGGGAGCACCTCCCGGAGAATTGGAAGGATTGAGGGAAAAATTGAAGCAGGAGAGCCCATTTCCGGCCGTCTGTTTCCATGGAGATATGTGACATTGATCTGCTGCGACATATCAAATATTGCTCTGCTGATGTCTATCTTCTGGATATGGGACAACCTACTTTCTTCCTCATCCAAGTCTGTTAATAGATCCAAGATAGACTTTCTAGCCTTTATGCTATGGTGAACTATGGCGTTTAGCATACATATTTAATAACAAATTTCACACCTATTTGAAGATGGAACAATACATTAATGTCTAGATAGTAAGAATGAATCTATGGTAATCATAGAATATAACTTTACTAAAATATTTTATAAAGGAAAATAAAACGCTCTTTTATTCCAATTAATTAACAACCTATGAAAAGATAGGTGTTTTGACTATCGACAATAAAATCAACAATTTTGAAAGTTCTCATTATACGCTCTATTCTTGTAGGCATAATATATATTCCTCTGTTTGTTGTATTCTCAAATCTCTCTTTGATTCCAACAACATCCAATTCACAAATATTCTATATTTTAATATTATTCACTCATGTTGAAGATACTTCGTTAATATTCAGTTTTTATTCTTTTTTTTTATCACATAGAGAGAGATATACTCAAGAAACATATACTCATATGGTGAATATAAAAATAATTAGATTTGTATTTTAAATGAATTGTGTGAAAATTGAAATGTGATAGGAAATGTAAGTTCATTAAATGTTTAAATAACTTCGTTCAATTGTGTTTAGTTTCAACATGAGCCAAAAGAGATTCCGTAAAATATCACGAATATTTGAGAAGTCTGAAGACATCTGAAATTTATACAGGTGTAGCACGTATTCTTGTATTTAGATGACATAAATTGTGTGGCGCTAAATTTTTTATAGGGCGAAGACCCAAGTTCTACAGAAGTAAAAGTATTAATTTAAAATGTGTTGTCTTATCCAAAGTACACTAGAGCCTCAATGAGAAGACTCTCGTGCTAAAGGACACCTCTCTACAAAGGATAGTTTCTATTTGCAAAATACCATTTTTATTATTTTACCACTCTCTGGTAAGAGGACACCTCTCCCTAAAGGACACTTTGGATCTGCAATTAGGTGTCCTTTAAAGGAAGAATCACTGTATTTACCAATATTTCTTTCTGGAATGTTATCTCATCGCTCATTAAATATGATCTCATGTGACAGAAAAAAAAAGACAGACAACTATAAAATGAGCTTGTCAAAAATCTCTACTCAGAATTTTAATAACAAACTAATAACTATAACTCCAGGTTGAAACACTGCCTAGATACCGATCGATTCTGTGAGACTCTCTCCTTTTTTCAGACCTTTTAAACGGCCTTAGAAATTAAATGAACTGCGCATGCGTCACCAGTATCACTGGGGAAATTTATTTCAAAGAGAAATAGCGATTATTTCTAACTTTATCACCGTTATATTGACTAGAAGGCGAAGGACTTTGAGTACTGAATTTATATAAAAAAAAGAGTTGGTAATTCTTTTAAAAAGATGCAACTTTTCTATCTATCTATAAACGTATTTTTAAAAAATGAATTACTTACATTCAATTGAAATATATTATTTGAATATTTTATATTAACATAAAAATATATATTTTCATAACAGATGGCGCGCTAATGCACCATAATATAATTGGTCTAATAAAAATATATATTTTTTAATTATATAGAGAATCAATTTTAGGAACAGCCCGAGCTATGCCATATTGTAGGAAGAGCCCAAGATATGTCAGTTTATAGAAACAGCTCGAGCTCTGCCATATTGTAGAGACAGCCCGAGCTGTGTCAGATTGTAGGGACAGCCCGTCATGTTGTAGAGAAAGTCAAATAAATGACAGATTGTAGAAAGATCCAGAGCTATATCAGATTGTAGTGACAGCCTGAGCTATGTAAGTCGTAGGGACAGCCAAAGATAAATCAGATTGCAGGAAAATCTCGAGCTATGTCAGAAGGTATGGACAGTCCGAGCTATATAAGATTTTAGGGGCAACCCGAGCTATTACATATTATAAGGGCAACCCGAGCTATGCCAGATTATAGGGACAGCCTTATTTATGTCCGCTTTTAGGGACACCCCGTGCTAAGCCAGATTGCAGAGATAGCTTGAGCTATTTCAGATTATAGGGACAGCCTAAGCTATGCAGGTTTTAGGGACAGCTTGAGCTATGCCAAAGTGTGGCAACACTCAAAGATATGTCAAATTGTAGAGAGTTCTCGAGCTAGTCAGATTTCAGGGACAGCCTGAGCAATGCCAGATTTTAAGGGCAACCCGAGCTATGCCAAATTGTGGGAACAGTCAAAGATAAGTTCTCGAGCTATGTCAGATTGAATGGGCAATGTGAGAAATGCCAGATTTTATAGACAGCCCGAGCTATGTTAGATTTTAAGACCAACCCGAGGTATGCCAGATTACAGAGATAGCCCGAATTATCTCAGATTGTAGTGACAGCCCGAGATATGCCATAGTGTAGGAGCAGCCGAAGATATGACAGATTGTATTGACAGCCCGAGTTATGCCATAGTGTAGGAGCAGCCGAAGATATGACAGATTGTAGGGACAGCCCGAGCTATGCCATAGTGTAGGAGCATCCAAAGATATGACAGATTGTAGGGACAGCCCGAGCTATGCCATAGTGTAGGAGCAGCCGAAGATATGACAGATTGTAAGGACAGCCCTAGCTATGCCATAGTGTAGGAGCAGCCGAAGATATGACAGATTGTAGTGACAGCCCGAGATATGCCATAGTGTAGGAGCATCCAAAGATATGACAGATTGTAGGGACAGCCCGAGCTATGCCATAGTGTAGGAGCAGCCGAAGATATGACAGATTGTAAGGACAGCCCTAGCTATGCCATAGTGTAGGAGCAGCCGAAGATATGACAGATTGTAGGGACAGCCCGAGCTATTCCATAGTATAGGAGCAGCCGAAGATGTAACAGATTGTAAGGACAGCCCGAGCTATGCCATAGTGTAAGAGCAGCCGAAGATATGACAGATTGTAGGGACAGCCCGAGCTATGCCATAGTGTAGGAGCAGCCGAAGATATGACAGATTATAGGGACAGCCTTATTTATGTCCGTTTTTGGGACACCCCGTGCTAAGCCAGATTGCAGAGATAGCTTGAGCTATTTCAGATTATAGGGACAGCCTAAGCTATGCAGGTTTTAGGGACAGCTTGAGCTATGCCATATTGTGGGGACACTCAAAGATATAAAACAACACTTAAAGTTTCACAGCATAAGTTTCTTTTCTGTGAAAAATCAATATTTATTTCAAAGAGAAATATCTACTATTTCTAACTTTTTTGGATAACGTATGAAAGGGTGAAAATATGAAGAGTAATGGTCTATATATAATTGGATGACGTATGAAAGGGTGAAAATATGAAGAGTAATGGCGAACGGAAAAATTAAAGTGTCCAGGGGCGGGAATCGAACCAACAACCTTCCGCTTACCGGGCAGATGCCATGTCCACTAGGCTACCCTGGACGTATTTTTCCGTTCGTAACTAATACTTAAAGTAACTTATAATATATATATATAATTGCCTTATTCTGTCTGAAGCTCACGGATAGAATGCGCGCCCATTGGCTGCCGGCGAACAAGTGTCCTCCCTGCCCCCCTCTAGACAACCCTGTTATCAGCTGTGTGATACATACACCTGTCTATAGCGGCCATTCTAGACAACCCTGTTATCAGCAGTGTGTTACATCCACCTGTCTATACAGACCACCTTGTCTATAGCGACCACTGACCACCCTGCCTATAGCGACCACTCTAGACAACCCTGTTATCAGCTGTGTGATACATCCACCTGTCTATACAGACCACCCTGTATATAGCGGCCATTCTAGATAACCCAGTTATCAGCTGTGTGATACATACACCTGTCTATACAGACCACCCTGTCTATAGCGGCCACTCTAGACAACCCTGTTATCAGCAGTGTGATACATACACCTGTCTATACAGACCACCCTGTCTATAGCGGCCACTCTAGACAACCCTGTTATCAGCTGTGTGATACATACACCTGTCTATACAGACCACCCTGTCTATAGCGACCACCCAAGACAACGTTTTTAAAATATATTCGCACTCGGGTAAAACCCGGGCGTTGCCCGGGCCATTCGTCTAGTACATTATAAAGGACTGCGGCGTATGATTATAAAACAACACTTAAAGTTTCACCGCATAAGTTTCTTTTCTGTGAAAAATCAATATTTATTTCAAAGAGAAATATCTACTATTTCTAACTTTCACAGAAAAGTTTTTCACAGAAAAGAAACTTATGCGGTGAAACTTTAAGTGTTGTTTTATAATCATACGCCGCAGTCCTTTATAATGTACTCAAAGATATGTCAAATTGTAGAGAGTTCTCGAGCTATGTCAGATTTCAGGGACAGCCTGAGCAATGCCAGATTTTAAGGGCAACCCGAGCTATGCCAAATTGTGGGAACAATCAATGATAAGTTATCGAGCTATGTCAGATTGAATGGGCAATGTGAGAAATGCCAGATTTTATAGACAGCCCGAGCTATGTTAGATTTTAAGACCAACCCGAGGTATGCCAGATTACAGAGATAGCCCGAGATATCTCAGATTGTAGTGACAGCCCGAGATATGCCATAGTGTAGGAGCAGCCGAAGATATGACAGATTGTATTGACAGCCCGAGTTAAGCCATAGTGTAGGAGCAGCCGAAGATATGACAGATTGTAGGGACAGCCCGAGCTATGACATAGTATAGGAGCAGCCGAAGATATGACAGATTTTAGGGACAGCCCAAGCTATGCCATAGTGTAGGAGCAGCCGAAGATATGACCGATTGTAGGGACATCCCGAGCTATGCCATAGTGTAGGAGCATCTAAAGATATGACAGATTGTAGGGACAGCCCGAGCTATGCCATAGTGTAGGAGCAGCCGAAGATATGACAGATTGTAAGGACAGCCCGAGCTATGCCAAAGTGTAGGAGCAGCCGAAGATATGACAGATTGTGAGGACAGCCCTAGCTATGCCATAGTGTAGGAGCAGCCGAAGATATGACATATTGTAGGGACAGCCCGAGTTATTACATAGTGTAGGAGCAGCCGAAGATATGACAGATTGTAAGGACACCCCGAGCAATGTCATAGTGTAAGAGCAGCCGAAGATATGACAGATTGTAGGGACAGCCCGAGCTATGCCATAGTGTAGGAGCAGCCGAAGATATGACATATTGTAGGGACAGCCCGAGTTATTACATAGTGTAGGAGCAGCCGAAGATATGACAGATTGTAGGGATAGCCCGAGCTATGCCATAGTGTAGGAGCAGCCGAAGATATGACAGATTGTAAGGACAGCCGGAGCTATGCCATAGTGTAGGAGCAGCCGAAGATATGACAGATTGTAGGGACAGCCCGAGCTATTCCATAGTATAGGAGCAGCCGAAGATATGACAGATTGTAAGGACAGCCCGAGCTTTGCCATAGTGTAAGAGCAGCCGAAGATATGACAGATTGTAGGGACAGCCCGAGCTATGCCATAGTGTAGAAGCAGCCGAAGATATGACAGATTGTAGGGACAGCCCGAGCTATGCCATAGTGTAGGAGCATCCGAAGATATGACATATTGTGGGACAGCCCGAGCTATGCCAAATTGCAGGGACATCCCGAGCTATGTCTGATTAAGGTGATGAATAAATCTTGTATTAGCGCGTTATCTCATATCTGATAGTTGTTAGCCGCTGGGGGCCAGCCTTATATGGTCAGGACTACCGCGTACCTGAACCGGCTGAACAATACTAGTCCAGCCCGCACTATTTTGGACCCCTGAGACAAAGTACCTAATAATGTCGGACAAGAGCTGGACCCATTACAGCGCACATTTATAATACCTTCTGATTGAGGATATGTTCACCTAAGAATATTTGAACCTGTCTAAGGCTGAACGAGGAATCCAGAAAAACGGACTACAACTATGAATAGAAACTTCGGGTAGTAGAGCCTGAGGAACAACGCCCAGAACGGAAAAGATCGACTTTCTAAAAGGTCTAACTCAACATTACCTTACCTAACCCAATTTGGAAATAATGGAGGCATCCTTATATTGGTTCCATATATAATATATTTTTCTCCCTCTCAATTCAATGAATATATAAAATATGTAAATGATAATTTGTATATAAAAACAGTATTTATCATTAATTTATTAACGTGATACTCCTGACAAGTCCGAAAGCTTGAAAATTAAAAAGTTGAACAAAAAACTTAGCCCTGGAAGCTTTATTCATTTTATAATATACACTGCGTGACATTGAAAATGGAACACCAAGAAATAGTGGCCAGAAAATTATGCAAATTTCAGGGTAGACGCGCCTAACCGAGTTATGCAGATGATGTAAAATGCGCAGCTCTCGTGCGCACATGGAGTAAGATATAAGGGAAGGAACTTGCAGAAAGGACAGTATTCGTGTCGTTATTTCTTCAAGGAAAATCATTGTAGAAATTTTGTTCTTGTGTCAAAAGACACGTGTAATAACAGAGAATGCCAGGTCATCGTAAACGGAGGCAGTTCAAGCAGACAGACGCTTTTACGAGGGGCATGGTGATCGGACTGAAAAGGGCAGGTTGGTCCATACGTCAAATCGCAGCTGATACACACCTTGGTGCGTCCACGGTCCACCGACTGTGGAGAAGATGGTTGGAACAAGGAAATGTGGCAATTTATAGGAATGTCGGTGCAACCAGAGTGACGTCAGCACGTGTGGATCGGCGTATCCTTCGACAAGCAGTGGCGGCCCCACAAACCACTTGTACCGCCATCCTGCAACATGTGCAAGCTAATGGCTTGCACTCATGCCGTCCGCTAAGAAGACTGCCATTGACCCCACCGAATAGGCGCCAACGTTTGGAATGGTGCCGGGCTAGATCGACGTGGATGACGGAATGGCACAGGGTCGTGTTCTCAGATGAGTCGCGTTTCTGCTTGTCCAGTGATAGTCGCCGTGTACGCGTGTGGCGTCGACGTGGAGAAAGGTCCAATCCGGCTGCAATTGTGGAACGCCCCACCGTGCGACAACGTGGAATCATGGTTTGGGGCGCAATCGCGTATGATTCCAGGTCACCTTTACTTCGTATTCAGGGCACTATGACGGCCCAACGATACGTTGATGATGTGCTGCGACCGGTGACACTCCCCTACCTTCAGGGGGTACCCAATGCCCTTTATCAGCAGGATAACGCCCGACCGCACACTGCTCGCATTAGCCAACAAGCTCTGCAAGATGTACAGATGCTTCCCTGGCCACCGTACTCTCCTGATCTCTCACCAATCGAGCACGTCTGGGACATCATTGGACGCCGTTTGCATGCCTTGCCACAGCCGCGTTCAGAAGACGAACTGTGACAAATGGTTGAGAGGGAATGGAGAGCCATCCCTCAGGACGCCATCCGTACTCTGATTGACTCTCTACCTAGACGTGTTGCTGCGTGCATCGCCGTCCGCGGTGGTCCTACTTGCTACTAAGCCGACGCCGTTCTCGCTCTGTATTATGACTATCATTTTGAAATAAAGATCACTTATTGTTCGTCCCTGTCTCTTTCTGTCTGCCGAGTTTCATCACTTTCTGGCCACTATTTCTTGGTGTTCCATTTTCAATGTCACGCAGTGTATTGGTTCAGTTAAAGATATTTCAACTCAAACCTTCTACATAACATTCCTGTGTTCTCCTCAAATGTTAAATCTCTTAATTTTTACACATTTTTGAACCCCATTTCTTCCAAAGATTCGATTCATTCAGGGGATCTTCATTCCTATCCTACTTTCAGCCAACTGATAACTTCTGGATCTGATCCTACTGCACAGTCCTGTGAGGTTGGTTTTATTTCGGCTGATCTCCAGATCTCGGTTTACATAAACTCGGAACAGGGGAATTGAAATAATTTCAATCGATTTTTACAAGGTGATTATTTAAACTTTTTTATTATAACTTCGGAATACACAGATATATTAAGCAAAATATATCTACATCATTGCGCTTACGTAACACCACGTGATATTTGATAATTCACCAGATAGGGGCCACCACCAATTATTCTGTAACAATATAAATGCTAAATGCAAAGTATTTTTCTCCAAGTTTTAAAATAAGGTGTTCCATATTTGTTTATTACAATATAATTGAAAATAGGAGCTATTTCTATTGCTCTTGATTTTTTATTTAACCTGGAATAAAAAAATAAAATGATATATTAAAATGATAATTGAAATGCTATATACAGTCGACTCTCGATAAATTGAAATTCAAGGGACCAGAGAAAATTTTAAATTTATCAAGTGTTCAAAATAACAAGAGTTTGAACAACTAAAAGGGAGGGAGGGGAAAAAAACAAGTAAACAAGAGTTTAATTTTTTTGGCAGTTTCGGGATATACATACTATGTTGACACAAGAATATATAAGTGACTTACCGCAAGTCTTTAAAGTAATACTTTTTTGGGGATCTTTTT